TTTTTCTTACTGTGGGCACACTGGCACACATTAAAAATGAAAATTCTGTTGCTTATATAGCTAAGAAACATTGATACAGTAAGGCATTAAAGCAATTTGAATAAGGCAATCCCATCATTAGAACGGTAAAATTACCAGACTGAAGTATAGTGTTATTATAATACTAAAATCCATGAAAAAAATAGGTGTAATCAATAAAAAAAATATTACATCTAGAGAAAAGGCCATGCGGCAGCACAGTGCTTCTCAATCTTGGTCACTTTCAGATATGTGGACTTCAACTCCCAGAATCCCTTCCTGGCTGAGGCATTCTGGGAGTTGAAGTCCACAAGTCTTAGAGTTGCCGAATCAGGAGATCCCTGGCTTCAAAACCCAAATAATATATTTATATTTGTTGTGGTCTGCCGACAGCCTGCGGAGATGGCAGCAAAGTCGGACAGTGGGGAGGAACGTGGGCCAGTCCGGGAGTCTGAGGAGGACTTGGATGAGGGTCCTGCATCCAATGCAGAGATGGGGCCTGGGCCATCTGGGAGTTGTGTGCTGACTCTGGTGCCTCCAGAATCTGACATCAGCAAGGCAGAGGAATAGCGGGAGCCTGTTCCCAGTTTGCGTATGCGCAGAGCTGTCAGAAGGCAAGAGCAGCTGAGACGAAAGGGGCGACTCGGGAGTAAGGCTTGGAGGTGATGGGCCCCTCCCATAAGACATAAAGGAGGAGCAAAGGGACAGGAACCTTTGCAGGAAACAACTTTGTTTGTCCTGGTTGGTTTAAACTCTGAAGCTCTGTGTTGAATTTGTGCTCTCTTTATTTAGCCTTGTACAACTAACTGGCAATTTAGTCGTTGGCAGCATTTCAAGGGAGATAAAGGTGGGTGCTTATCAGACTTATCCCGAAGGACTTTGGCAGACTTCTGTGGGACTATTTACAAACTGGGCTGTGAATGACTATAATTCACAGCTGTTGAAATAAAACAAAAGGTTTTTGGGACTAAGCTTCTGTTTGTTAATGTCTCAGGGAGCCTTGTGTCATGCCCCTGGTGGAGACTGACTCTGAGTCAGAAGAGGAACAGCCGACAGGGAGTGGAAGTGTGGCTCCAGAGGTTGTGGAGGAGGCTGGGGAAGGGCAGAGGCCGGCTGAGCAGTCAGAGGAGGACCCAGGCACATCCCCTCTCCATCCTAGGGCATGCAGGGAAGAGAGGATAAGGGAGAGATGTGGTCTACTCGGGAGGAGAGGGCCTTGATCTTCTTCATGGGCTGCAGCTGTGACAACTGAATAAAGAGGACGGACATGCGTACAGGCGAGCGCTGGAAACAAAGCGTGGAAATCTCTCTAGTTTATGGTTCCTCTCTAGTTTGGCATCCTCCCCAGTGTGTGTTCTGTTATCTGTGGGCGTCCTCCAGCCCTTATCTTGCCTGGTTGGTGTTGCTTTTTTTCCTCCTTCTTGTAACTGTTTGTGTGGGAGTTTTTTGTCTTCTGTGAAGGATATTCGGAGCTTGGAAGCAAAGTTGAAGGAATAAAAGGGGCTTCACCTGTTTTCTGTGACTGTGTTTCTTTTGTATCCCACCCTGGGTCATCACACCTTGATCAGAACAATACTGCCCAATGACGCCGGCAACTTAATTATTAAAAATGAAATAAAAATGAAAAGCCAGAGTCCACCGACAGGGGTGCCGGAAGATTGGATGGGCCTGCTTACCTGCAAGATGGCAACCTCGTTCCGCAATTGGCTCTCCTGCTTTGTGGGGAAACGAAGCTTGTCGATGACCTTCACCGCCACGTCCCTGCCTGTCTTGCGGTGTTTCCCTGACAGGAGAAGAGACAGCCAGCTCTTAGCAAGAAGTTATGGAGTTAGTTGGTTCCAACCCACCTCCAGACCAACTAGGAGTGTCGCCAGAGATGACACAACCTCTGACAGGGCGGGAACCCTTGGGGAAACCAAGGGTTGGTAGATGCCTTCAAGACTTCATCTTTGGCCCCCAATGGGCTTGCCGTCTCTTTCTAAGGGTTGGCTAAGTTTTTGATTGAGGCCAAGGGCTAATTTTTTTTGGGAAAGGGAAACTAATTTCTGGAAAGGGAAACAAGCTTGACTCAGCCTTCCGTCCTTCCGAGGTCGGTAAAACGAGGACCCAGATTGTTGGGGGCAAGAGGCTGACTCTGTAAACGGCTTAGAGAGGGCTGGAAGGCACTGTGAAATGGCATAGAAGTCTAAGGGCTACTGCTAAGTGCTAAGTAAGTAAGTAAGTAAGTAAGGAAGGAAGGAAGGAAGGAAGAAAGGAAGGAAGGAAGGAAGGAAGGAGAGAAGGAGGGAGGGAGGGAGGGAGGGAGGGGAGAGAGACAGACAAGGAAGGGAGGGAGGGAGGGAGGAAGGGAAGGAGGAAGGGAGGAAGGAAAGGAGGGAGGGTGGGCCCTGGTGGCACAGTGATTAGAATGCAGTATTGCAGGCTAACTCTGCCCACAGCCAGCAGTTCGATCCTGACCATCTCAAGGTTGATTCAGCCTCCCGTCCTTCTGAGGTTGGTCAGATTGTTGGGAGCAATATGCTGACTCTGTAAACTGCTTAGAGAGGGCTGTAAAAGCACTGTGAAGCGGTACATAAGTTTAAGTGCTACTACTAAGTGCTAAGGAAGTAAGTAAGTAAGTAAGTAAGTAAGTAAGTAAGGAAGGAAGGAAGGAAGGAAGGAAGGACCCTTGTGGTTGTAAGTCAAGGACTACTTGCCCAGTGATGGGGGGGGGGAAACTCTGTTTGTGGCTCCCCTTCAGTTGTTGAACTTAAGTTCTCAGCACAGCAACGACCAGAGACAACCAAAGTTGAACATTGCAAGATCTGAGGGCCACAATTGGTCCTTTGGGAAACCCAGAGACTGTCTCCGGGGTCATTCCCACAAGCTTTGGGGTGCGTATCACTACATTTCAAGACTGGCATGGTGGAGGGTTGTGAAAGGAGAACAAATCCAGCCTCCCTCCTCGTTTTTGACCTGTGTGGCGAGCTGCCATCTTGACTTTTTGACACCCGGTTCTTCTATCACAAAACCTGGAGAAAGGACGCCTGTCAGGGCTCCAGTAGTTACCCCCATTTTAATCATGAGCTGGATTTTCAAAGCTTAAAGAAGATTTATTAGGAGTAAACATGCTGGTGCTACCTGGGTGCAGCCGACACATCATTCCCTGTCACCCTTGACCCTGGTTTTCCCCACCTCCTGGGTGAATCATAATTCATATCCTCCAATGGGACACATCCATAGCCCAGAGTCACCAGTTAGATATTTGCACAGCAGAAACTTCAGTCGCTTAGTTACTATCTCTGAAAACATGTATGGAATGCAATTTCGGTTTTTGCAAGCTGCTACACTGCTCCCCCACCTCCTCCCTTTCTGTTGGCAACTCTAAAACGACCATAGAAATATTGGATGAGTTGACAAAGCCAAGCCCACCAGTTGGGTTTACCTCCGTAGACCACACCAAACTGCCCGGAGCCCAAGACCTCATCTGGGAAGATCTGGTAGACGGTGGCGATGTCCTGCAATTGGACAAAGAAGTCACCTCTTGAGGTCACCTCCAAGCAGGTGAGGAGAATCAAAGAATGAGATCCAGAGGCAGAATGAATGGAGGATGCCGGGACACTCACCACGTTCTCCTGGATTTGGCTGTTGGACACGGAGATCCTCAAAGACGCTTGTCCTAGATGAGGCAGGACCAAAAACAAAACAAAAATTAACCTCCTCCATCTCTTCATCACTGGAAGCTTTCAAGAAAAGGCTGTCAGAAACGGTGTAGGGCCATGATGGCACATATGTGACGGAAGTGGCACACAGAGCCACTTCTGCCGGCATGCGAGAGGTCATCCAGAAGAGTCCTGCTGCGCCACAGCGCCCCCCCCCCTCCCCGCCAGCCAGCCGATTGTCGGGTATCCTCCTCCCTTTCTGTTGGCAACTCCAAAACGGCCATAGAACGGTTTTATGAGTTGGCATGGCACTCACTGTGTGGGGGCTGCCCCTGGGCAGCCGGCACCCCCTGCAGGACGACGGGCATGAGGGCTTGACGGAGGGCCAGCTCCCAGGCCTTGGCGTGTTCCAGGCCATCCCCGCCATGCTGGGGGTTGCTGGGGGCGCCGTTCTCGCCCACGTAGTAGGTGGCGTTGGCGGTGACGATTTCGAAGCAGTGAGGATTGGCGCCGGGTGGCAGGAGGGAGAGGTCCTGAGCCACCTCCACCGTCAAGATCTCGGACAGCGGGATCTCCTGGGAAGTTGGAAAGGCGGCGAGAATGGAAAAAGGGAAATAAACCAACTCTTCCCCACCTAGGGATAGTCCTCGTTTAACGACCGTTGGCTTAACAACCGTTCACGGTTACAGCAGGCCCCCCCTCAAAAGGTGCTTATGGACTGGTTCCGAAGTTCTGACATCTCTCCAGCCTCCCCTGTGGTCACATGGCCCATATCTGGCTCATTTGCAGCTGTTTGGAGGGTCCGGTGAGATTTACATTTTTTTGCATGCACACTGAGTAGATTGACAATGGCGATGAGAGAACAGGAAGAAAAAGATTATGATAAAATTTGGAATTTGTTCCATGAATGGCTAGACAGAAGAGTCAGAAATTGAAATATGTAATAATGGTATAACGTATCATAATTGGTTCAGTTAGACTGAGTAAGAAAATGAATATAACTCAAGTAAAGATGAAATGTATTTTTGAAAGACGGTAACTATAATGTTAATGATAATACAATAATTGATAAATGTGATATAAAATATTGATTAGAATGGTTATAAATATAAACAAGTAAGAAACATATGATAATATTATTATGCGCACAAGATATATGTACCCAACCGACACACCATTGGAACCGAAAGATGGATTTATTTGTCTTTGCTTTTGTTATAAAATAAAAAAAACTTTTTAAAAAATGGAATTTATTTCCATTTTGTGGGCAAAAGCATCCATAGTAAATCAGGGGTTCGAGTGGAGGCTGTGGGAGATGCTTCAGTCTGAGCAGGGGGTGGAGTGGATGATCTCAAGGGCCTCCCACCCCTCTGGAATACTCTATTTATTCGCCTCCTGGGCTGTGAAAGACCCAACGGCTTCTCCTAATCTGCTCACTTTTTCTACCCCAAGGTCTCCGATGGGAGAAGGCACCCCACCTGCTGGCTCCCCACCTTCGCCCCCCTGTCCTGGAGGCCGCGAGGAGACAGACAGACCCACCTTGTAGTAGCGGTTGCTATTGTTATTCTGGAAGAGGGTGAGGCACTTGCTGTCCAGCCGCCAGTAATGGCGTTTCCGCTGCAAAGGGAGAGAAAATAGAAAATGTTTGGGGATTGGAAGGAGAGGAAGGGGCTTCTCTCTCGCATTGAAAGGCCCCCTCTTGGCTCAGCCTGCTAATGAACTTGAAAAAAGGTGGACTTCAACTCCCAGAATTCCCCAGTCGGCATGCTAGCAAAATTTAAGATGTATAAACTACATCTCCCAAAATTCCCCAGTCGGCATGCTAGCAAACTTTAAGATGTGTGGACTACAACAACTCCCAGAATTCCCCCTGTCTGCATGCTAGCAAACTTTAAGGTATATAAACTTAAAAATTTTCTCCCACAATTCACCAGGCAGCAGGCTAGAAAAAATGGAAGTGGAGTGAACTACGTCTCCCAGAATTCTTCAGTTGGCCGGCTGTTGAACTGGAAGACGAGTGGACCTCAACACCCAGAATCCCCCATCTTTTTCAATTGCCAAGCTTGAGAAACCAGGCTCTAGAACAGTGGTCTCCCACCTTGGCAACTTTAAGCCTGGAGGACTTCAACTCCCAGAATTCCTCAGTCAGCTTTGCTGGAGG